TCCGGGAATTTAAAGTGACACCAAACTCCGGAGATCAATCCTAAAAATCCATCCGAGTCCCGGAACTCTGAGCAACAATGTCTCTTATTTGTGTCACTCGGATCCTCCAATCATCTCTGACACTGTCCTTCCTCCTGGAGGGGGGCTACGTCTGTTCCCCAGCATGGTCCCCGTGTGTGATGTAGTCACCCTCCAGAAGAAAGGACGGTGTCAGAGATGATTGGAGGATCCGAGTGACACAAATAAGAGACATTGTTGCTCAGAGTTCCGGGACTCGGATGGATTTTCTTTTATATTCGTTTCTCTCTAATTCTTCATTTATGAATATTCTACATTCTATCCAATCATTTGTATTATTGGAATTGATTTCTCCCGACAAAAACAACAGCGTCACTTTAAAATCTTTGGGTGCTACATAGTGATCAGGGACTGCTGGGACTATGAGGACTATATGAGGACTTCGGGTCAGCAGGATATTTGATTTCTTTATAGTAATTCTGATGATAATAAAACGTGTTACATTGATGGGTTCAGTAAATGAGATTTTGCAGCTCAGCAGGACAAGGAAGACGGATCAGTGAAGCTGCAAGAGGAATGCCGAGGGTGTGACTGCTCAGTGACATCACATATAAACTCCCAGCACACAGCACAGGCTCCCAGTCCGAGTACTGGTTCCCAGTCTGAGCACACAGCACAGGCTCCCAGTCTGAGCACACAGGGCAGGCTCCCAGTCCGAGTACTGGTTCCCAGTCTGAGCACACAGGGCAGGCTCCCAGTCTGAGCACACAGGGCAGGCTCCCAGTCTGAGTACTTCTTCCCAGTCGGATCACTGGTCCACACAGGGTGATCACCATGGCGGAGCACAGAGCAGAGTCCCTGTACCTCAGTGTTGGGATTCTGGCTGTCAGTGCAGGTAATGAGCCCCAAATATTAACCCATTAACACCCAGCGTCTATATAAACAATGTAACACTTTCTTCCTCATATCCTTTTAGGAAGTTTACTTTTGGCCACACATCACTACAGCTCAGCCACAGCTGCACCCATCATCCCCCCCTCAGCCCTGGGCGTCCTGCTTCTGATCCTCGCCGCCATCTTGGCGTATGCAGGTAAGTGCGCAAATGTCACTGATTTACTGAGGGAGTGGAGACGGGTCACTTTGTATTTATTATTATTCAATATTATAATATTATATCATATAAAATAATATAACATTGTTTTTAGAGTTAAAGTTAGAAGTTTTATTGATTAGGTTTTCTCATATTTACAGATATAGTGCTCAGACAGCTTCCATTATGTGTTGTCTCTGTTCAGTCTTTCTGAATATTGATATGAATTAATCAATATGTGATATGAATTGATCGATAGTGATATTAATTGATCAATCTCTGATATGAATTGATCGATCTCTGATATGTAGTGATCGATATGTGATATGAATTGATCGCTCTGTGATATGAATTGATCAATATGTGATATGAATTGATCGATCTCTGATATGAATTGATCGATCTCTGATATTAATTAATCGATATGTGATATGACTTGATCGATATGTGATATGAATTGATCGATCTCTGATATGAATTGATCGATCTCTGATATTAATTGATCGATATGTGATATGAATTGATCAATCTCTGATATGAATTGATCGATCTCTGATATGTAGTGATCGATATGTGATATGAATTGATCGATATGTGATATGACTTGATCGATATGTGATATGAATTGATCGATCTCTGATATGAATTGATCGATCTATGATATGTATTGATCGATATGTGATATATATTCAGTATGTTAATCTTTTGTCTTTTAGGGGTGCGGAAGATTCGGGGGAATGTGTCACTGTGGGTCTCCTTCTATTGGACGGTGTCAGCCATGTGGTGCTCCACTGGAATCAACCTTCTACTGGAAGGAAATGGCGTCCTTGCTGTCCTGGACATGAAGTACGCCATGGTTCCGGGGGTCGTAGCCTTCTTCTTGGGGCTGCTCATGATCGGTATAGTGGGGATCCTTCAGAAGGAAGCTGTCTTAGCTTTAATGGCAGTCACCCTTTCTCTGTCTGGCATTCATGAAATTGTTCTGTTCTATGACCAGGTGGTGGGTTCCTCTGCTATTGCATGCAACTATCTGATTGTTACTTTACTTGGTCTGTACTTCATTGGTGGAAGGTTCCTCTATAGTTGCAGTAGAGGGCAGGTGAGTTTACCTGGCACAGATCTCAGCAGTTTTAAGGACAAAGAACAAGGGTCAGCCAGGGGGTCAGGTATCATGCCACTCACAGCCATGTCTCTGATCCTCAATATGGTGGCCTCTAGTGTGTTTGCCTGCAGACTTCTGGGCATTATTGATCGGCTGTTTGTGGGTCAGGTGGCATGGCTTTGGATGGCAGCGGTTTATCAGACCGGTATCTGCATTCTATCATATCGCTCATATTGCACACTGGACGCCACACACTTTGCATTCTTCTCCATCCTGAGATACGCAGAAGGGTTCTCGTTGCTGTATCAGATCCTAAACACGAGTGAGTTCAGTTACCCTCTGCCACTGTCCGTGGTGTTCGCCATTCTATTTTCCGTCCTTGCCCTCTTTACATCCATTCAAAGTCTGGCCCAGTCGGCCTATTTACTTTTTTATGTTGCCTATTGCATTGCGCTGGCCTGTAATCCACATGGATTCTTCCATGGAGGGTCCCAAGGCGTCAATGTTGCCATATACATCGTATCGGCAGTGATGTTGCTGATCTGCTTATACAATTCTAAATCCCCCACAAAGATCCCCACCGGGGAAGGCGCCATTAAGAAGCTGTTTACCAGCAATACATATTTCAAGCTTCGTCAGCATAAAGACATCCATGAACCCTTCCTGGGTCATTCCAAGTATGGCGACGCTGATGCTCTGGCCTATGCGTCCAGTATTTTGGCAGTTTTTGCCATGACGATGCCGGGCAATCCTGATGACCCTTTGGTCACGGTGGTCTTGCCTTGGGTGGTAGTTGCAGGAGGGATTTATAATCTGATATGTGGAGCGGTTGCCTTTTCCCGTGGTAAGACACTTGAAAGCAGCGCCTTCATGCTCTATGGGGTCATGTGGGTTATTTGGGGAATCTCCAGATATAGTGGAATCTACATCACCAGCAGAGGCTTTAACACAGCAGTCGGCATTATATGTTTTATGCTTTTTAACACTTTCATTGTTTTCAGCACTTTCTTCCTCTCTAAGGCTTGGTTCATCTACTCCCTCTCTTTCCAACTAATCCTCATCAGCTTCCTCCTCGATTCCGTCAACGCTCTCCCAATGGGCTATGACATCGCTGTCACCATTATCTTTGGTCTTGTTGGCTTTTACTGCTTTCTTGCTACACTCTTCAACAGCACCATGGAGGCTCCCCAAATACCAGTTGGCACCCCATTTATTAAGATTAGTGGCTTTTCCAATGAGAGATCGAAATGTCCCCACCTGGTGGCCTCGAGGACCAGCTCTGTGAGACAAATAGCAGGTAAGATGACATGAAGAGACTCATTCAGTTATGTGAGATCTTTTATCA